CGGGGGAGAGACGGGCGGCCTCGGGGCTCCCGAGCGCCCGCTGGGAGACTGGCCACGCGGGGCCAAGCGGGAGGCCGGGACGGAGACGGGGAGCGGAGTTCGCCGAGAGTCGAGCGCGCGGACGGGACACTTGAGAGAGGCGGAGGGGATGGGGAGAAGAGACACGGTGAACAGGCGAGAGTCTGGGATGGAGTTTAAAGGGACGAGACCGGGAGAGGTGGAGAGAGAGCGACCAGGAGGCAGCGCCCGAGCCTGGCGAGGGCACGCAGAGCGGTGGGACAGTCAGAGAACGACCCAAAGAGGGGCGGAGAGAGAGACAGGCCCTCAGGGAGACTGCGAGAGGCATCAAGGGAGGTGGACGAGAAACGCTGGGGATTCAGAGAGGAGGTGATTCCGAGACAGGGAGAAGACCCGGGGCGGGAGCTGGCAAGACACAGCAGGAGCCAGTGAGGGCTGGGAGGTGGGTGGAAGGTGGCAGGGAAGAGTGTGAAGGAGGGACCCAAAGGGGTTGGATCCGGCGGGGGTGCAAAGGCCCTGGGGCGGGAGACAGTTTTGAGAAGCTGATGGGGCAGGGCTCTGGAAGTGAGGGAGTCTGGGGAGGAGACAGGGCAGAAGTTGGGGAGGGCTGGATCCCACAGGGCCTGGGGGAACTCGGGATCAAGGCTGGAGTGTGGGCCTTCCCTGGTTCCAGTGACGACCTCCCCACAACCCCCCACCCCCGGATCTCCTTTCTCCCAACCCGCTGGTTTTGGAGACCAAGGTAAGGGTGGGAACGACTCTGCTGCCTCGAACTGATGCAACTATAATTCTAGTCCCACCACCTGGGTGCATTGGTCCCTTGACGAGTAACTTTCTGAGAAAGGAACACTTGGGTAGCAATCACTCTGAGCTACTGACAACATTGACAGCCCCATTTCTTGGGGCCTCCCAGGAGCCAGGCCCTACCTAGCTTATGGAATCTGCCCCACCACTCCTGGAAGCAAAGAGGATCGTTTCTTTCCCCCCAAGAGAGAGGGAAACTGAGGCTCGGAAGATGACTTGCCAGGATCACCCAACCAGTGGCAGGACCCAGCTTGGCATCCAGTTCTGCCCACTCGTGGCCATCATTAAGGGGAAACAGATGGTTTCCCAGGGGCCTGCAAGCCAACAGCCAGTGAGCCTGGCATTGCTTAGGGTCATAGGTGCCCCTGCCTGACCTGAGCCTGCTGTCCCCTCAGTGTCCTCAGCCTGGGGTGGCTGCGTCGAGGTGGACTCAGAGACTGAGGCCGTGTACGGGATGACCTTCAAAATTCTGTGCATCTCCTGCAAGCGCCGTAGCGAGACCAATGCCGAGACCTTCACTGAGTGGACCTTCCGCCAGAAAGGCACCGAGGAGTTTGTCAAGGTGTGTGGGTGCCTGGCACGGGTGTACAGGGGTTTGCGTGTGGAGCTGATGAGGCTGAACCTTAGGGTGGCGGGGAGGGGTGCTTGTTTGTTTTTAATAATACTTGATGACCTGGATTCAAACTGTGGCTCCACCACTGACCCATTGGAGACCTCAGGCGAGTCTCTGAGACTCGGTTTCTTCCTCCATAAAGGCAGGGTGGTGATGGTCTCTAGCCCACAGGTCTGTGTGAGGATTGAGTAAGTGGATACACCAGGCCCATGGCTGGCACAAAGTAAATGTCACTGGACTTCTTTGGCACCAGCAAAAATGTCTCGGATAGTCATCTAGGAGGAAAAGCAGAACTTTTTTTTTTTTTAGCCTTGTTTAAACTGTGTGTATTTTGAATTACATATGGGGGCACCATAAATTTCTACAACCTGCTGGAGGATTGGGTCTCCAGCAGCTGGGATCAGGTGGCTTCTGTCTGGTCTGGGGAAGTGTGTCTGGTGGCTGGGGAAGTGTGTCTGGTGGTTGCAGAGGATGCTGGCCCAGAAGGCCAAACAGGGCTTGGGAGGATGGCTGAGGAGTGTGCATGTCTCCAGGCTAGAGGCAAAAGTGGGGTCTGGGCCCAGGCACCATCCAGATCCTAGACCTCCCCACCCCCTGGGCCAGCCCTGCTCGAGGCAAGATGTCTGCGCCCGTTTGTGTGTCATCTGTGTCGGTGAGGGCCAGGGCAGAGGACAGACTCGGGGTCAGGTTGGGGGAGACGGGCCCAGGCAGTGATGCTCCCCGCCACCCCAAGATCTTGCGCTACGAGAACGAGGTGCTGCAGCTGGAGGAGGACGAGCGCTTTGAGGGCCGCGTGGTGTGGAACGGCAGCCGGGGCACCAAAGACCTGCAGGACCTGTCCATCTTCATCACCAATGTCACCTACAACCACTCAGGCGACTATGAGTGCCATGTCTACCGCCTGCTCTTCTTTGAGAACTATGAGCACAACACCAGCGTCGTCAAGAAGATCCACCTTGAGGTGGTGGACAAAGGTGAGCCTGGCCCTGCCCGCCCCGGCGCCCCGCTGCCCACCAGCGAGCCAGATGGAGGGACAGATGGCAGGTAGCGGACAGGCTGGCTCTGCGCCTGGGCCGGCCGACCGCCCACAGCCGCGGGGTAGCTGCACCTCCCCCCACCTTAGCCACATTTCCCTTCAGCCCACGTAGAGATCAAAGCATGCCTCTCCCCACAGACATTCTGGGTGCAGAATCCAGCTCTGTCACTCACCTGTGCTGTGTGACCACCAGCAGGTGCCTTCCTGTCTCTGAGCTGGTCCTGTCTCTGAGGGTTGTCCTACCGGATGGTAATAGTATCTACTTCTCAGGGTGTTGTTTGAGCCATTCTTACGTCATAGGAGGGTGCAGACTGAGTACAATGCTGGATGTCAGCTGCTGGCACAGGCCTAGCTCATAGCAGGGCCTGGCACATGGGGTGGCAGGGGAAAGGGTTCTGGCTGTTGAGTGGCTTTCGCCCCGCGGCCCCTCCATCATGGTGGGGCAAGCGCTGGGAGTGTGTCAGCTCGAGCAGAGCCCCTCAAGCTCCACCGTGCACTCCAGCCACCAGGAAGTGCAGAGTCTGACTCAGCAGACCTGAGGTGGGCCCAGGAGTCATTTCTAACAAGTCTCAGATGGGCTGATGCTCAGACCTAAGGGTCCCACTGAACAGCAAGGATCTTGCTCTGATCCATCTTTTTTTTTTGAGTTGGAATCTCACTCTGTTGCCCAGACTGGAGTGCAGTGGCCGCTCCCGGCCACCGCAGCCTCGACCTGCTGGGCTCCGGCGATCCTTCCACCTCAGCCTTCCAAGTAGCCAGAACCACAGGTGCGCGCTACCACGCCCGGCTAATTTGTTGATTTGTTATAGAGATGAGGTCTCGCCAAGTTGCCCAGGCGGGTCTCAGTGCCTTGTGTGGGGTGCTCTCAGTGCATCTTCTCTCTACTCTCTGGGGAAGGGGCTCTTACTGTCCCCATTTTACAGATGAAACCGAGGCTCAGGGAGGTAAGGTGGCATAGCCAAGGTCACATAGTTGGGACCTGGATTTGAACCCAACAAAGCCCGGGTGACTATGTTTCTGTTCTTGGCATGATTCACTGTACCCTGTTATCAGCCAGCGTTTCTGGTTATAATTAGCAATTTTGCGTGTATTGTCAAAGCAGTGTGGCAGGATGCAATTTGGAAGGCATGTCTGAGCCACTCTCTGGTGTGCATCATGGTGCTGGGTAGGTGGTCACCCGTGGGCACAGAAGATGGCCTCGCCCTCGTGAGGGGGGTTTAGCAGAGTTGTCATAGCGTGACGCCCAACATCCAAGACCAGGGCTTAACACCACCCATGTTATTACTCTCACAAATCCCCACGCAGGCGACAGGGGTGAGGAAGGGAGTCTCCAGGGCACCATTCAGCCACCCAGGTGCTTTCCATCTTGTTGCCCAGCCCTTGCCTGGGATGCTGTCTCACCTGCACGGGCGGAGGGGACAGGAGCTCAGGTCCACTGTGACCCAGCAAAGACTCTCTTTTCTGACAAACCATTGTTGGCCCTATCACACTACCCCCCAGAGCCCATGTTTTTCACAATACTGACCATAATATGAAGTATCTTGTGCTGTCCTCCCAAAGCCTGGGTCTTCAGAATTATCCACCGAATTCTAGTATTGTTGTTGTTTTTTTTTATTCACCACAGTGTAGCATTGCCTTGTTAGCATTATCCTCTATAGTATAGTGTTCTTGTTTTTGTTTTTGAATCGGAGTCTCATTCTTTTGCCCAGGTTGGAGTGCAGTGTCACGATCACAGCTCACTGCAGCCTTATCCTCTTGGGCTCAGGCAATCCTTTCACCTCAGTCTCCTGAGTAGCTGGGACTACAGGCATGCACCACCACACCCGGCTGGTTGTTTTATTTTTTGTAGTAACAAGGTCTCCTTGTGTTGCCCAGGCTAGTCCTGAACTCCCGGTCTCAAGCAATCCTCTTGCCTTGGCCTCCCAAAGTACTTGGATTATAGGTGTGAGCCACTGCGCCCAACCTAATATAGTGTTTTATAATTTACAATATACTATGCTTGCTTAACATTGCCAAATATACGATGGTATTTTTATCATAATCCGTCATACCAGAGTATTTTTAATGTTCCCCACCATACTTTCATGTTTTTATCATTATCCACCATTCTGTGCAATAGTCTTTTAAAATATTGATCATACTGTAGTATTTTAAAATACTACTTGTTATACTATAGTCTGCTCATCTTACCCGTGATACTATAGCATTTTAACATGACTCATCACGCTATAGTATTTTTTTCCTTTACCCACCATATTATTGTCTTCTAGCATTGCTTGCCACATCTTAGCAGTTAAGATTATCCACTCTCTCGCCGCAGTTTCGGCATGACCCATCAGTCTGTATCGCCTTCTGGAAATGACCCCCAAGGAATGAACCGAGTCATTTCCAAGGGAAGAGAACTTCACTGTCCTGGGAGAGGTGCAGAGGGTGCTGATAGGCAGCCAGGGTTGCCCACCTGGGGCGAGAGCAGGCCTATGGGGACAAGAGGAGACAGTAATTCTATTTTGGATCTAGGCGGGACGCATGGAAAACGCCTCGAGGTGCAGCTGTATCTGAGGCTGGTGAGAAATCCAGCCTGCGGGGGTGCAGCTAGGCTTCAGCTCGGGGGCTGCCTGTGAGATGCCATGTTACCTAAGCCTCTCTGGGCACCAAGTCAGGACCGTGGCAAGAATTCTGATAACTGAGCTTCATCCAACAAGCATCCACCTCTCCGTGGGTTCTGAGGCCAGTGGGTAGCCAGGACAAGCCCTATCCTGGGGCTGTCTTAAGGCATCTGGGAGATGCTCAGACAAGGGATGAGCACAGAGCCTGGCCGAGAGCAGGCAGGCACTCACTGCATGAGATGCATTCATCATGTCTGTCGCAAAAAAAGAAAGAAAGAATGAATGAGATCTGGAGCCCTGTCCCAGCTCCTCCTGCAGGGAAGCAGGGGTGGGGGGAGCTTCTAGCCCGGCACCCTCCCTCCCTCTGGCCCAGAAAGCATCGGTGCCATCTGGACAGGGTGGGGCAGCAGAAAAGTGTCCCGCTCCCAGGAGAGGAAGACACGTGAGTCTGGCGGGGAGATGTGATCTCTGCTGTCCAGCAGGGGTCCAGGATGTGGGATGGACACCTAGGAAATCTGACTGAGGACACCAGCGTGGCTTTTGACTCTGGTCCCCTGACATGAATGCGCTTCCTTTACAGTTTAAATTTAGGCTTCATGAAAGGAAGCTGGCAGTGGCAGGGCCAGTGCTGTGGAAGGATGTAGGGCTTCCGGAAAATAGCCAACGCTTAGGCAGTGCTGGCTGCGTGCTCATCCAGGCACATTACAGAGGTTGAGTCATTTCCTCTTCCCGGCAGTCCTAGGAGGGGGGTCTGAGTATTATCATCCCCATTTAACAGAGCGGGGATCGAGGCTCAGTGGGGTAGAATCATATGCCTAAGATCACACAGCTAGGAAGTGGCAGAGCCAGGATGAGAACCCTGGCAGTCTGGCCCCAGAACCTCTGCTGTTAACCCTTTTACTGCACTGCCTCAGTTGCAATAGTAATAATATTAATGGTAGTGAACATTTATTGAGTGCTATTTATAGGTCAAGCACTATTCTAAGGATCTTTTTTTTTTTTTTTTTTGAGTTGGCGTCTCACTCTGTCGCCCAGACTGGAGTGCAGTGACCACTCCCGGCCACCGCAGCCTCGACCTGCTGGGCCCCAGCGATGCTTCCGCCTCAGCCTTCCAAGTAGCTGGAACTACAGGCGCGTGCTACCACGCCCGGCTAATTTTTTTTTGATTTATTGTAGAGATGAGGTCTCGCCAGGTTGCCCAGGTGGGTCTGGAACCCGCGGGCTCAGGCAATTCACTCACCTCGGCCTCTCAAAGCACGGGATTACAGGCTGAGCCACCGAGCCCGGCTCTAAGGATCTTTAAAGCTTATTTAATTCTCACAACACTCTCATGAGGTATTGTGATTACCAACATTTTATAGCTGGGGATACGAGACCCAGAGAGATTGAATCACTTGCCCAAGGTCACACAGCTGACAGACGGCAGAGCCAGAATTTGAACCTGAGCCTTCCGGTTGCAGAGCTGTAGCTTCCAGGCACCATGTCCGACAGCCTGCTGAACAACACAGGCAGGTTGAGGGTGACCCCTAGACCTATCCAAGCCTGGTTATTCGTAATCACAGTAGCAATGGAGACTCTAGGGAAGCAGCATGATTACCCTATTTGGGGGCCAGGGCCAGGGAGGTTGAGCCACTTGCTCAAGCACACGCAGCAAGCACACTCAGGCCATCGTGCCTCCTGAGCTGGCCCTGGCTGCCACCTTAGCCCTGCCTGGCCTTTCTAGCCAACAGAGACATGGCGTCCATCGTGTCTGAGATCATGATGTATGTGCTCATTGTGGTATTGACCATATGGCTCGTGGCAGAGATGGTTTACTGCTACAAGAAGATCGCGGCTGCCACGGAGGCTGCCGCACAAGAGAACGCGTGAGTGGGGTCGGTGGGGTGGGGTGAGGCCACCGAGGGTGCCTCCGGACTTGCCGGAGGGGACAGTGGGAGCCGGCTGGGGAGCGGTGCAGGGCGGCATTTGTCAGTCCTCCCCACAGAAGAGCGTTTGCTGACATGGGAGCCCGGGGCCCCAACTGGGTCTCCTCACAAACCCCTAAGAGTCCAGCCCATCGCCCCTCCTGTGTCTAACTCAGGAGCCCTGTGCACCCCGGGCAGAGACCCCGACCTTCCCCAGTCTCCTGGGGGTGGGGCCCAACTGATTATGGGGTCACTGAACACCTGGCCTTTCCCCCCCACAGCTCGGAATACCTGGCCATCACCTCAGAAAGCAAAGAGAACTGTACGGGTGTCCAAGTGGCCGAATAGCCCCGGTAAGGCGGGTGGTGGGCTGGGGCTGGGGCTGGGAGCAGGGAGGGCTGCAGCCCCCTACAGTCCCTAATTCCTTCTGTCTCCCTCCCTTTAGGCCCTGGGCTCCGCCTCAAGGAAGAGCCAGCCCCAGTGGGGAGTATCCGGGCCCAGCCTGCCCCCAATGGGGGCTGGCCATTCCCGGACCCCCACAGGCCTCAGAGTCCTGCCAACGGAGCCGGGTGGGAGGGGCAGGGGGCTAGGCTCGCACCCCAACCCAGCCTTCTTCAGCTCCTGCCCCAGTGCCCGCCCACCGCCATGCATGATGGGTAAAGCAATACCGCCGCTGCCCCCACCCCTGCTTCTGCTGCCTGTTGGGGGAGGGGGTGGTGAGGCAGGGGCAGCGGCTCCGCACCCCTTCTTCTTGCTGATTTGCACACACTGGCCGCTTCAGACACGCACTTCTGGGGCCACCCCTCCCTGCCTCATCCCTGCCCGGCGGCGGGGGTCGTGATGGGCCAGAACGGTTTGGGGCGAGGGGTTCTGGGACCCCCCGGACCCTCCGTGCCATTCCCCCCCTGCTTCCTCCGGCTGGACCTGGGGTCCCCTCTCCCTGTGATGCACTCTCGCCCCGGCCCGACCCCGCCCTCTCTCACCAGCCTTGGATTGTGGTCGCTTAGAAAGGGGCCCACTCAGCCTGTCTCTTTACAGAAGTAGTTTTGTTCATTGAATAAAGATTCTTGGACTTGAGTCATAGTCTCTCTCGTGAGCCCAGTCACCTTCTTCACCCGCAGCCCCAAATCCTAGCGCCTCGGTTTCCCAGGGACCCTCCCTCAGGGCCGGCAGCGGGGCCTGGACCGCACACATTGAGGAAGAAGGATGGGGACGCCATCTGAGGGCACAGCCGGGGGGAAGCCGCTTGGTGCTCATGACCGTCAGGTTGTGGGGAGTCATCAGCTCGGCGGGACTGTGAGTGGCCAGAGAGAACGGGAAGGAGCCGCAAGGGAGCCTGGGGGTGCCAAGGAGGGGAGAGAAGCTGGCGCTAGCTAGGGTGCAGGGGTTTGGGGGGTTGCTGTGTGCCCAGCAGGGTGGGTCTCTGGAGAGGTGGGAGCTGGCGAGAGGAAGGGGGAAGGAGAGAGAGAAATGAATGGAGAGAGACTGAGAGAGTGAGCAAGAGATAGTAGGGACTGGGCAGCAGCCAGGCTAGTGTGTCCCCTGCCAGGGGCTGCGGGCCTGTGGGGGGGGAGGCACACGGGGTGAGGGCACGTGGGGGGGCACAGGTGCGTCCGGTTGTGCAGGGTGGCCCCTCTGGGGTGAGCCGCTGTGGTCCGACCGTCCGGGTGTGTGGCTGACCACAGGCAGGCATCTGCTGGTGACCCTGGGGTGTCCAGGTGTCCATCTGGCCCTGGGGTCTGACGTGGATGGCACTTGGCTGCTGGCGGGACAGTGTGTTATCTGCCTCCGGCCACTTCCGGCCACTTGGCCTGGGCCTCGGCACCCGGTGCTGCCTTTTCCGGGCCAAGCCCCCCATCCCCCTTATGCAGGACTTCCTGGGCTCCAGAGGTCACCCTGCAGGCGGCAGAGAGGCTGCCAAAGCAAACCAGCCCCCGTGACTTGTAGGAAAGCAGCTGGGGGAGGGGGCCGGGGGAGGATGAACAGGGCCAGGCGGGCCGCGCCCGGGCAGGAGGGGGCT